GGGGTCCCGCCGCCCGAGGCGGGGAGGGGACCCCCGCGCCCCCCCTCCTTTCGGGATAGGCGCAAAGTCACCTCCATCTCTCTGTCGGCTAGGGAGCGTGGAATAAAAAGAAAAAAAAAACCAAACCAAAAGCCCCAAACCATCCTGAGGCATGGCACACCTGAAAAGGGTGTGAGAGGCCTCTTTTCGGAAGGTAAAATCGCTTAAAAGCGCCGTAAGGCACTCAACAGTAGCTCCTGCTGGCAGAGAAACGCAAACGGAGTTTCGATTATTGGGGAAATTTTTCAGAGAGGGGCTGATTTGCACAGGAGAGAAGAGCTGTTGACCGGGCTACCGGGTGCCGTTTGGTTATAACTTTCTTTTCCTAGATGCTTGTTGAGTCTGAAGAGTGCTTGATTGTCCCATAGGAATGAGGTAAAGGGCGGGGGACGAACGGACGGACCCGACCCGACCCGGACCCGACCTTCTGTCTGAATCCGTTGAAAGGAAGAGGAAACCAAAGTGACTCAAGTAGCGGGGTGGGAAGGGGGGGACGACTAGCTGAAAAAGTCCAGTTCTCTACAGTATTTTGGTAAATTGTCTTTAGTTACACTAGGTTTGGGAAGCAGAGTGGGGGTGTAGCTACGCTACGCATTTGTGTATTTCAGTTGACGGAATCACGTGAATCGTTGTGGTGTTCTGGACCCGGCTTGTCAGTGTAAGGCGAGCATAGTTTTTACATGACAGGGAGGTTCTTGGCAGGAGCAGGTGATGTTTAGAGCATTTTCTGCCCCTTTGCTGGTTTTGTATCTTGGATCGTTTTGTTTTCCAGGACTAGTAGTTGAGTGGGAGGTTGGTCTAGCTGGCACTTCGACGGCTCTTGCAGACCTAATTCTCCAATTCAGTTTGGCCGTACCAAAGACTTTTATGTTATTGCTGTTAGCACAACAGCCAACTGTAATTTACTCCTACCAGTGGTGTAGCTGTATCCTCAGGCCTTAGAAGCTGGGAATGTCATTCTCGGCCTCATGCTCAGCTGTGACTCTGGGTTGCTTTTGAATACTTTGGTTTTGGTAAACACATAACAGGAGGATGTGACTCAAATTTCCAGTACAGAAATTGAATTAAAATTATCTCTGCCTCACAGAAATAATTCCGAATTTAAGTGAAATTACGTATCTTGGTAGTTAAAAATAATTTAATTGGAAATGTCCATATGAGTAAGGCAATAACACACTTTCAGCCGAGTCCAAATGAAAGTTCATGTCTTCTGGAGGCATATGGACTTAACTTCATTCTTTGTGTGTAGTTCTGATTTCATTCTGCTACAAGGTTGCAGTTCAAGATGAAAGGGTGGAGGATTATGGTTCAAAGAATTTTTCTCACAAAACTTTCAAGAAGCTAAGCTGGTGTGCTTTATATAGAGGATCAGTTTATTTTTCTCGTTGTTCCTTCCTTTTTCTTCTTAAATGTAATTTTAAACCAGTGCAGCTATTGCAATGAACATGACCTTCTCAGTAGCACGTATGTAATGTTGGAGATATTAACTGGTCAAATTTCCAAACTGAGGTTGCAAAGTAAAATTGCAGCAGTTGTGCCTTACTCTCTTTGATGGCTAGTTTCCAACTCTGAGCTGCTGTATGCTGGCACAAGAGTTTACAAAACTGCAGTAAGACTTGACCTGATAAAATTTGCTGCGGCCAAAAGGGGCAGTATCCCTTGTCCTGGCTTTATGACCTAGAGTCCTTATGACTGTGCTCAGCCGACCTGGACTTGCTAAACCAACAGAAATCAAATCCAGCAAAATCTATACAGGTCTCTTATACAGGGTTAGCAAGTTAAACGAGCTTTGTGGTAGGCCTGGTGAGTGCTAAAACAAGATGGAGGGCAGAACTGCTCTGGGTGAGGAGAAGGAAGAGGGAAGAAAAACACAGACCTCTTTCCCTTGGCAGTAAATTCCCCTTTTTTTTTTTTTCTGAACTTTTATTTTGGGGAGAAGAGTTATTTTTAGCTTGGATCAGTTACCTGATCAAATTCACAGTACTCATACCTGAGGGGAATATTCTGTTAAAAGAAGGTAGTTTAGTATAGCTGTCAGAACTCTGGTCCAGCTGTGACTTTTACGGTTCTTTCAGAAGCAGTTCATTTTGAGGATCCTTGTTCTCACTCCGTATCTCATTATTTCTGTAGCTGAAGTTTACCACAGCATTCAGCTATTCATTTGATTTAAATTGGACTTAAATGGTTTGGCTGGTTTTGATGGGTTTGGGAGCTGGTTGTTCATTAAATTTTGTAGATCCATGTATTAAGGTGGTGATCACCTGTGCTGGAAATGAATGGCTGATAATGAAACTTCAAGAAGAAGACAAGGGTCCTCTTAAACTGCAACATGCTAAAGAGAGTGGTAATACAGAACTAGAGCTTAAAACAAACATTTTGCCTAAAAAATTCTTAAACTTCTTCTCTAGTAAGAAATTACAAAGTCTGATCATTTTCTGTATCCAAAGAAATGAATAATTGTAATTGGAGTAGCTTAGAGTGAATTGTTTATATTTAGTGTGTTTATTGCTTCTAAATATGTAAAGGCCTTACACTTTTTGCTTTTTAGAACGAATATGCATGAACGAGTGAACAGAACAGAGAGGCAGTTTAAATCTCTCCCAGCTAACCAACAGAGTCTTCTTCCTCAATTCCTTCCTCACCTTGACAAGATTCGGAAGTGCATTGATCATAATCAAGAGATACTACATACCATTGTGAATGACTGCGTTCATATGTTTGAAAATAAAGAATATGGAGAAGACGTATGTTAAAATGGACCTTTTCATACTTCAGAATTAAATTCTATATGCTTTGCTTTTACATTTGTTTTTCACACCTTTAGGCCTCCAGCTTTCTTTCCTTTTGCCTTCTTTATTTTCTCCTTTCTTCCTGTTTATTTATATTTTCTTACTCTTGGTTTTCACATCTTGTAGAGCTGATATTTAATAAAACTTTGTTGTTAGTGTTTGTAGTTACACTTACAAAAACTAATTGTGAATTTGGCAAATTACAGTTATCACTTACTGTAGAAAAGCAGTTTTTCACTCCAGAGTTCTAGCTCTACCCTGGTTACATTTTAAAAGTTACTTTTTCAGTAGAGCATAATATGTAGAGCATAAATGGTACCATCTGTCTTACTGTGGCTTATTATATGTTATAGCATTCTAAATTAGTTACAATTTTAAATAGGGCAAGTATTTTTGATGTTATCATCTGTAAAAACTTTTTCACTGCTTACGTGCTTTTTCAGTGTAGCGTTTCTATCCAAAATAATTGCACTCAGACTTAAAGCAGAGATGGAAACTGAAGTCCTTTTTTGGTATCTACAGGAAAGGTACAGTAATGGGCAGCTCTAACATGAGCTTCTCAGTGTTGCTTCATCAGTACCTAAAAGGATCCTCTTCTCAGGGTAAGCAGTTCAGCCTCTGCACTAGCTCAGCCCTGGTCCTTTTCTGAATAAGGACTACCAGTTGTGCTCTGCTATGCCATACTATGTATGGTTTTGTGATGTGGAACCTGGTCTCTGCCAACCTGAGACCAGCAAACTTCATTTGTTTAGGATTCTAGGTTGGATTTCAGCCCCGGTCCCAGGAGTGAAAGGCGAGTGCTTTGTCAGCTAAAACTCCCAACAGCCCTTATATCATGGCTTTTGTCTGTTTATAATTTACTTTCCTCCCCTTCCCCCCCTCCCTGCCCCAAGACCAAAGATACTTGGTACATTTTCTGCTAACTTTTTTTTTTTTTTTGTCCACTTTAATCAGGAAATAAGGAAGATTACACCGGCTTCAACATTTGACATGGATAAATTAAAGTCCACTTTGAAACAATTTGTGAGAGACTGGAGCGAAGAGGGAAAGCCTGAGAGAGATTCCTGCTACCAGCCAATCATTAGTGAAATCGTAAAGAACTTCCCAAAAGAAAGATGGTAATAGTGTTTTAAGACTTATATTTATATGGGCATACACTGTTGCACGAATCTAACAAAGTATGCAGTAGTGAAAAGCTTGGATTTAAAAATACAGAAATTACTATGAATGCAGTGGAATTTATTTTTTAAGCAAGAAAGTTTTTGTTTCTAATACAAGGTGTTGGAAAAGAGCATAATCATAAACTTCACAAAGGAATACCAGGTAAACCAAGAATATTTTTTTTTTTTTTTCCTGCAGCTTGATGTAACAGGATATCTGTTAACTCTTCAAGTAAGACACCTCGGGAGGTTGTGAAATTAACTCAGTTGTGCTCAGTGAGGAAAAGTTTGCAGGTTAGCAGATGCTAAGAGTGTATGTGCAGCAGATAAAGGGAAGAGCCCCATGTTGACAGCAGGAAGCATGAGTATTGTGCTTCGTGGTGGAAGGAGGGGAGACAACCTTTAACCTCTAGCACAGTTCTGTTGCTCCAAGAATTTACCCTGCAAATACTTAATTCTAGCCTTGGTTTCAGACAGATGTTACAAGGCAAGTCTTAAAAAAAGCTTTGCTGCATCTGTGTGGGTAGCTTTGTAACTATGTTGGCTTGTTAACACCACCAAAATAGTAATCGGTGCGGGATTTTTTAGGTAATTTTAAGTAGTAGTATACTGTAGAAGATACTGGTGCTATAAGAATTCTGTGTTTAATGGGTCTGCCATTTATTCAGCCCAGTCATCATAAAGTACGTTTCAGATTAAACACTCTTATAATGAGAAAATTTGTGAACTTTGTGCTCATAAATGTGACAAGTGAGAACTTAGGTTTGATACAGCTGGATGTTACTGTAGATTTTCTCTTTTCTCAGTAATTGCTAATAATGCACTGGTACCAATTTGAAAATACCTTCCACTAGCCATCTTTTAACTTTCATTAGTAAAGACTGTTTGTGGTGGCAGAACATGGAGTGGATATGGTTGGTTTCTCTTGGCTTGGGCTAACTTACCTCAAGGTAGATGCACCACTAAAGATGTTTTACCTGAAGGTGAACTTTGTGCGATGTTTTTAATGCTAATAGTGCCCTACAGGAGATAAGAAAGAATTGAATACTACAGGTTACGTGATGTACTTCTGATCTGTAGGAAAAGTCATAGCTGGTTTAGAAAGTAATCATTCTAATCTTCAAGGTAGCAGTTCACCTTTTTCTCTGTATGCTAGCTTTTAAAGCATTTTGGTTATGGGAGAGGTAATATATGTCAAATCTTAAGAGATACATGACTGAAGCTCAAAGTCTTGACTAGTACATTCATCATCAATGAACTCAATAAATTTCAAGAACTCCAGTTGGTGTTGGGAAGCAACATGTGATAACAGATTGGGTGACTCTGAAGTTGGTAGCTTTGTGCTTCTTTACCAGGAATTCTGCTGGTGGTGGTTGTTGTCAAACACGACTAATGTGACAGTGCTTCTGTCCCTGTTTTGATGGCTCTGAAATACCAGCTGGGTTTTTTTTGACTATACAGAAATCTCAGAAGATTGCTGTGTAGATCAAACGTCTGTACTACAAGTCTGAGTTTGTCAAATGAAAAGTTTTTTAATTTATAAAATCTGTATTACATACCTATTTAAAAGTCTAATATTCCTGATCATTATGGGGCTGTCGTAGCACTTCTGTAAAACCTTCTGTCTGTTCACGTATCGTTACCTGCTGTTGTCAGCTTGCTCTTTTTCCTAGTGACTGGAGGTTCTCCTACGCAGGTGTACTTACCTCTTTGAGGCAAGAAGCAGAGGAGCCCGTTTTCTCTGTGTATTATTAGGCTTAACTGGCAATGCCACCTCACCCTTGCGCAAGAAGTAACTTCCCGGGCAGGAGGGGCTGTCTGGTCAGTCTGGTTCCTTTTTTACAGTTTTGGAGGGGAGCAGTTGTTTCAGTGTGAAGGGATGGACAGGGCCTGAACTGACCAAAATGAAGTTACTCTGGATGTTGTGTATAGTGGGTGCAAAGCCCATTTCCTCCAGAGAGGACTGGCTGTGGGCATTAATGTGGGAAGATGGCCTGTAGATGGAACATCGAGTGCAGCTTTGCATTTCTTTAGAGTTCCCTTTCATATCACAGAGTGCTGAACTCTCCTGAGATGACGGAGTGAAAGTGCTAGAGGAAAAAGTGTTGTTGGCACTGGGTGATGTAAGTCTAGATGTATTTTGCATTGAAAAGGATGGAGAAATGAATATTTTAAATTCAGTGCTGTTGGTATGAGTCACCTTTTACTTTTTAAGGGCTTCATGGGATTGTACATTCAGTTTCTAGTTAACTTTTTTTAATGTTACTGATTCCTTGCATTGGAATCGTGTGAAAAAGGAGTTTAAATTTTTGAAACTACTCAAGTATGTTTTGCTTCATGCATGGACCTGTTTTGTTGTTGCTTCTCTCTGCAAGATTGGTCTGAATTGCTTCAGTTGGCACGCAAAGAACAGGAAAAGAAGTGCTCTGTATGCTTGCTCTTCTTGGAAGCAGGAGAGAAGCAATGGTTGAAAGCAATGCTAAATTAGAACAGTCTTGTGACTAGGTGCTACTGTTATCAGTTGTGTTTCAGTCCAGTCTTCTGACAAGACTGTCATCTAAAAATAAAATGTCAAAAGCTGTTCCTGCCTCCCACGCCTCTTCAGAAACAATTCCTTCTTTCTGCTTGGCACCTTAACACAGTATCTGTTAGTAGTATCAACAAAGCAGTCTTAAGTGAAGTCCCATGAGATAAGGTCTTCCTGAAGAACTGATAATTTCCTGTGTTCTGATTATTTCCTGTGTTGTTCATGTTTGAATTCAATTCTTTCAGTTCACAGGGTTTCCGTAGTATTGTCTACCTCTTGATTAAGCCATTTGAATTTCTTTAATTTCTCGGATCTGAATAGATCATGATTGCTACTTTTTGTAGGAGAAAATAGTAAAACATAGATACATTTTATTTCTTGATTGAATGTGTTTGTTAAAGCACTTTTATGGGGGAAACATAAAGTTGAAAATCTAAATAAGCATATGGATATATATTTTTTTTTTTCTAACTCCCCTTATGTCATCTTTATTTTCTTTCACTTCTGCTGTTACCCTTCCTACTTATGTGAAAGGATGTAAAGAACATCAGCTGCATGTCCAAAAGGAACCAAAGAAATAGCTAACCTTTTTAGTTAATTATCATTCCTTGGACAAGAACAGTAAACTTAAGTATTTTCTTCAGAGTTTTCTTTTATTCATTAACTTGGCCTCTGGAACCATCTTGAAATTTAACTTGAAATTTAAATCTATTACGCTGTCCAGCTATTGACTGCATTTTCCAAGATACTGGCAGGACAGCCCAAAAGAAGTCACTGGTGCCTAGTTTCCTTTTTAATTTGAAAAATAGCTTATTAGCCCTAAGACTGGACTTGGCTATGCTTCTTGCATGTGCTCAGTCACATTTATAGTGATAAAATTTCTACTTTATACAAATTTTATTTGACTTTATATAAAATATATCTGTTCTTGCAGGGTTCTTAGTCTCATCAAAACTTGTGCGTAGCCTAAATTTAGCTTTTGATGTGGGATTTCAGAGCAAACTGTATCTTCAGCGTTACTGCAGTCCACTGAAGGCTTTGCAGGTCTTTACATGGAAGTATATAAACCTCAGCTGCTAAGTTTGGGGAAGAATTGCTCTTCAAATGTTATGCTTCCTAGCTACCTTCATTATTTTATTTGAAAAGTAGTTGTCTTTCAAAAAAAAAAAAAATCTCTGAAAATATGATTACAGTAAAATTAGGAAAAATACTGAGAATTGGATCCGTTCACTATCTAAACATTACAGAGACAAGACATCAGGAAAGAAGGAGTCCCACAGTGTGATTCTATGCTGATGCTTCCACTGGTCTTCTGTGTATGGGCTGTGTATTTCTTATCACTTATTACCATTAGCTAACATTTGAATTGCATTATTTAGTTTATGAAAATGAGGTTTGTGTTTGATCACACGTGCTAATTTTTCTTCTGCTGAGCTTCAGTTTACCCCTTCAGCACCATCATGTTTTCGTTGAAGCACAGCACCATCATGTTTTCGTTGAAGCACAATAGGCATAAAATAAGAAGCCTCTATTTTTATCACATACAATTTTTCCTTTAAAAAAGGGACACCAAGTTAAGGTCTTTGTTAATGGCATTAAACTTCTAAAAGCTGAAAATACATCATGCTGCAAAATGCAGTACAGTATCAGCATGACAGATTTTAGTTGTTTCTGGCAGTACTCCACTGTCTGCTGCAGTTCCAGTAGTTGAGCCATGCAGCCTTCTTCCCTGCTCTGCAGCCAGCCTCCCTCCCCACACCCGTCAGGATAACAGGTCAATGTTTCTTCTCTGTTGCCCCACAGGTTTTTAATGGGTACTCGCTCAGTACCCAATTATGTTCCTAACCGATGCTAGATCTGTGCCATAGCAATCCTGCTGCTGCTAGCTAGTCAAAGGCTAGTTTTGCTGTGGATAACGTTGGGTTACTATCAGTTACCATGCTTTGGGATTTTTTTTGATTGTCTCTCCTACTGCAGCAGTTACATATCTGCCAAAGAACGCAGGTTTTTCTAGCCTCCTAAATAATCTTACAACTGTTTAGCCATTAAAAAGCTCTTTCTTTGCAATTAAAATTTTTAGCTTTTCTAATGATTCAAAAATTAGCATAATATAGTGCATTGGAGTGCTTCCACTACCACTGGTTTCGTACCTTAATTTTTTTGAAATTCATCAATAGTTTGTGACTAACAATCCTTTTAAATCTTGAAAAGGAAAATGTGTTGGAGCTTTTGGGGTTTTTTTGATAGCAGGACACTATGAACAGTCACTACTTGTTACACAGTAAGTTTGCCACATAACTACTTCCTTTGATTATAGATTTAAAAAATGCTCTTGAACCATTTTGGAAGGCTAGTGTCAGTGGATTCAGATTTGATTCTTTTGTATTCTATTAGCTGTGCTCTGTATGCTGAGACGAAGTTGATGGCCAGCACCAGTCCTTAGCAACTGATACGAAGAGTGTAGATAGAAATTACATTGCTAAAAAGTTTCCAGGCAAACTTCAATCCCTTAATAAAGGTGTGAAGGAAAGTGCAGTTAAAACCAACTATCTTCTAAGAGAGAACTGGCAAAATCAGTTCAGAGATACAAAAGCTTTATATTGTGGATAAAAAGTTACAAGACAATTACAAGCATTTAAAGTCAACTTGCTTGCCTGTTAGAGGATTTATCTTGGTTTAGGATAAATAAAGGTGCAGATTTCAAAATGTGGTTACACCTGCATAGCTCATTATTATTAGGTTGTGTTGAGAAAAGTGTCTTTTCTAATCCATGTATGATAATCTTGGAAGTGGCATAAGGCTTTTCTACCCACTCATGGTAGAAGTGTCCACATGGGGGTGCAAAAATCTGTGTGGAGCTGGCCTAAATATTTTATAAATAAAGTTTAAGGAAGTAGATTAGGTTAGAAATAGATTTAAAATAAGTGAATAGATATACCACTATGATAAGAAAAAGCTGTAAGATTAAGGTTTTTCTGGCTTTTCCCAGAACATGGATTTCCTTCTTCCTTCTCCTTTTGCATCCCTATTTTCAAAAATTTGTTTGAGCAAGTAGTTTTCCCCTGAATGAATATTTCTTTTTTTAGTAAGACTTCCTGGCTAGCTTTCTCCTGGCTTTCCTTGTAGAAGAGAGGTAAGGAGAACTGTTGCTTCACAGGACTGCTCTTAAGTAATAGCACAGTCTTGGATTTCCTGCTTCTTGTTAATCAGAAAACAAAGAATCTGAAAGTATAATGGAATGGAGGTGAAAATCAGGACTGAGAAGAACTTTGATTTTCTTTTTGGGAGACTTCACTAATTACATGATTAAGCCACAAACCAAAAGGCACTGTTAAAAATGCTTGTTAGCTTGTGTGGCCTTTAGAGAAGAGTAATGCTTGGTTTTGGGTAATAGTCTTCAGAAGCGTACTACTTTTCAGAATTTACATAACGCTTTTGAACCCTTTTTGGCATCCTGAATTTTTATGTAGTCAAAGGCTTTGCATTTTGCTTTCTTTTGTCATATGTTTGGAAGTGCTGCTTGTGGCTTCCTTCATTTAGTTGCATATAAATTGATACATGTATGTTTTGTCTTTGAAGGTGACGTGCAAAAGGAAGGGTAGTCTGAGTGTTTGCACTTGTTTCTTTGGTATATGAAATTATGAACTCTTGTTCACGACTGGAAACTGAAAAGTTACTTCTTTTTAGATTGGCTCTTCAGTTTGGCAAGGGAGTGCTTTTGTTTTATGAGTGAAGGTTTGATTGCATTGTGATTGAGAATATGTATATATTGCCTTTTCTGCCTGAAAGAGGAGAACATTTTGAGATTCTTACTACTTTTTATTCATTGCTGAACTTGGGAGTTGGGAGAAGTTTTTCTAGGTATCTCACTAAACACACACTGCTGGATGTCTTCTGATCATCTTCAACTTGATATCTAGTTACGGGAAGTGGAGGGTTAGAGAGCTGCAATGTACTCTGATTTAGGAAACCTTAGGTCACTTAATGTCCTTGAGTGAAATCGGTGAACAGTGTATTTAAAACCCACAATTGCTGAGAAGGTAACTAAGGTTTTTCAGTCTGAATTGCTCATCAGCTTTCTTTTTATTTGCTTTGTGTTTCTGATGTCAAAATACGTGTTTATTTTTCATGTGATGTAACAAAGAAGATTGCTAGAATATTTACTAGCCATCAGTCTGCCTCATAGAAAAATAAATGGTGCTATATAATAATGTTCTTTCTTCAGTTCACTTAGAGATTTTTAGCTTGATAACTGTAAAAGTGCTCAGGAAAAAAACCTTGTTTTGTAATTATGATCTGTATTCTGAATGAGGGTTGTATAATGTTCTTTTAAGTCATTTGCTGTGAATTATTTTGACTGTACAATTAACCAATCTGATCAGAACTGCCTCAGTTTGCATTTAAAAAGTAAAGTTGCACAGGAAATACATTATAATATCTAAGTATATGGGGAAAAAAATGTTTGACTGGCCCTCTGTAAGTTTTGTTAAGAGGTATCAGATAAAGACTTAACTATTATTTTTGTTCTGTTGCAGGGATTTCTCCAAAGTTAATATCCTGGTACCTGGTGCTGGGCTAGGTAGATTGGCGTGGGAAATAGCTATGCTCGGTTATGCTTGCCAAGGAAATGAATGGAGCCTCTTTATGCTCTTTTCTTCTAACTTTGTACTCAACAGGTACATAGCTTATGTTTTACTTGCTGATTGAAACCTAGGGAGGCAAAATTATAAATGAGAAAAACTTGAATAAATAAAACTCACAAGAATAGATCTCTAAGTCCTAATACAAGGACACATGTAGCCACATTTCAGAATGTTTTAATGAATTAAAAAATACCAGTGGGATAAATGGGGGAGGGAAGCTTTGTATCCAAGTCATTAAAATTATAGCAGGAAGCATGGCTTTTAAGTTATGACACTTAAAATCTTTACATTGTACCACAAATTTTCTGCATAATCTTGAATAGATTTTATTATTTATTTCACATCTGTTTCTGTAAAATGCGCACCTGTCTCACCAGTGTCAAATATGGACTAGTTAATATGTGTATGGTACTTAGTGGTGGTGACTAATAACAGAGGAAGACAAAGTGTTACATTCCATGCTAAAATTTTAGTGACTGTTTCTATGTGAAAAAGAACCACTGAAGCACTCTGAACGATTTCTTAAGCAAGTCCTGTCACTGTGTAACAGCTAAAATAATACAGTTAATAATTCTACCATTAGGCTGAGGTACTGAATTTGAATGTAGTACATTTCACTTTATATCTTTAATTTAGAGTGACATTTCTGTATTTGGTATTCTGTCCCTTGCATTGGAAATCACTGGTTTCGTAATTAACTTGTTAGAGAGGAGAGAAGGCAGCAAATGCAACTGTTCTTTTAAGAAAGAGGGTGGGAAGACAATGATTGGGCAAGTATGAAAGAGGTCTGGAGTTTTTTTGGGTGGAGTGGGTACCAACTTCAGAGAGACAGAATTTGGCAGTCATTCTTCAACCAGAAATTACACCCCTTTGCTGAAAACACCTAAGTTAGTGGCTTGTATTCTATATTATCATGATGTTTTGGACCCTGTTTGTAGACTGCTTGTTCACGGTGGACTGTGATGATCTTAAATCTGTTATAGCTTATTCTTCAAAAACAAAAAGGGGAAAACACTTTTTATTGTGGCTGCTGCATGTCTGCTTAAAACAATAGTGGTCAATGTGATGAAAATAGGTATTTGCTAGAGCTTTGTTCTTTTTCTTACATTATACTTAAAACACTCTCATCTGGTGGTGAAGTTGCACACTACAGCTGAGCTGATCTAACGCCTTGCAGCCACTGGAAGGAGGTCACACTCTTCTCGTCCTTAACTGTACAGCCCTGCTAGCTGTTACGCTCTTTGGAACTTTGGAAATTATTCAAAGCAGCATGAAAGTATTCATTTCCCATCTTTGGAAGCATTGATCAGCTGCCATAGTGGTTCAAATCTGAAGGTTAATGTCACCCCTAATTACCTCTGATGACATGTGTTTTGTCTTCCTTAAATAAGGAGTCTTTGGCCTGTATGTGGAATTCTGAAGTTCCATGCTCAGCTTACAGTAGTAATCATTCTTAGCATCTTATGCTCATGTGGTGTTTCCTATTTATAAGGTACCTAGCAAAGAGGTGTATATGCGTTACACTTGCTGTTTGATTTTAAACAGCAAAATTGAGTGTGGCTCAGCTGCTGTACTCTTCGTCTTTGCTGGGCAAGTTATCAGTTCCAAGTTTCCTTGTTAGCATGGAGGAGAATACTGCTAACCTGACCCTGAATTTCAGTCAGTTCAGTTGAATTCCAGGCATTCCTTTCTGCCAGATCTAACTGTGGGCTTGGGATGTCTCTTTAGAAGGTTTTAGGGACTTTAGGGATCTTTCATTTTAGTCTTAAGTGGCTGCTCCCAGTTAACCTTCTGAAATGGACGTGTTTGCCTTCCTGGAACTGGAAGAAACAGCAATGATCAATGAGCTGAAGATACCAGTTAAGGAAGAGTGTTAAGAAACAAGGATTTTGCAAATTAGTTTTTAACTACAGTCTTAATTAATTTTTGTTTTCAGTTGATAAAAGCATGAGGATTTTGTTAACATGTGCTTACAGTTTGGGTCTACCTTCTTTCTCTGACCTTGGTCTATTTTTAGGGAGACAAAGTACTATATTGAGTGTCAAGCCAACTACTACAGTGGGCTCCTAGATGTGGTACAGTGGCTTAAGTCTTCTGTATACAATGTAGTATTTTTACGCATTTAAAAAAATTTAATTCTGAACTTTTGTTGCTGTGGATAAAGTTGCATAGCATGTCACTATGTGCAGCAAGTGCATCAAGGCATAAATGTGGTCACTGTAAGTATTTGAAATTAATTAGAGTGCATGATTCCATTGAGGAAGTTGTAATGTGAAAATGAAAGTGACCCTGGAGTAGTTAAGCTGTAGTGCTCCAAGGCTGCTACACTCCTTATATGGGAAATCATGCTTTTTCTGGTATGGATAAGGTTCTTGTTGCTGGTGTAATTTTCTAATGTTTAGATGAGTTCTGGATATAATGACAGATGGCGGAGGTTATCATTGGTGATGTACAGACACACTTGATTTTTTACATGTTTTGGAAGAACAAAAAACTGAAAAGCATAATCTTGTTTTCCTACCTTTGGAAAGCATACCGAAATTTTCAGGTGGTCTAGAGCCACAGGACACGTTACTACCCATTGACATCTGGCAGGAGGGGAAACAACACTGAGGTGGTATCTATCTGGAGGAGACAGGTGCAGCTGGAAAAAAGTGAAGTGCGTCACACTTAAAGATGTTGTATTTTTATAACATAACTTATATCATACATCTTTTATTGAAGGACAGAATTATAAAGGACTGCAGTACTTAGTTTTGAAGTATAAATTACTGAAGCTGGAAAGTGAGGTTTTCAAGTTTGAATATGGAGAAGAATTGTTCTTTTATATTAAACTGGGAATTCCTTTTGGAACTGTTTGAAAGTCTACATGAATATACTTTGTGCTGAGAAAAAAAAAGATGTGTGTGTTCCCTTATAGCTCAGAAAAAAGATCCTTTCTAATCTACTTAGATCTCTTACTTTCTTTACCTAGCTTTAGGGGAAGTTTTCATTGTTAAAGAAAAATGTTCTGAGGATAATTAATACAAATTGATGGGGAGCATATGGAGAATGCTGGAATGGTTAACACACAACTTTTGCTGACCGGTGTGGAAGGGGTTGGTGGGTTTTCTGTTGTTGTTTAGGTTTTTATGGTTGGGTTTTTTTTTTTTGTTTGTGTGTGTTTGGTTGGCATTTTTTTGTTGGGTTTGGGTTTTTTTTAAACCAAAATAGAAATGCCTTTCTTGAAGAAAATTATGACTATGTTATCAGGGCTTTTTTTTTTTTTTTTAACTGATAAATATAAATATGACATAAGAAGGTAAAAAATGTTATTTCAAAGACTTTACCACAAATGTTTTCTATCCACCAGCCAAAAGAGTGCACCTTCTATAACCTGGTATATTTCTTGCAATTTCTGAAGTGTTTGATGATACCTGTTTTAGGGGACAGATATGTCTTCTGTTGTCTCTGAAAGAAAATGGCTTTTTAAATTAATTTTTTAATTACAAACTGATTTTACAGGACTGTGGGAAAAATTGCTTTTTATACTTCAGTGGTATTTTTTATCACTTTTTAAAATCGGAGTGGTCATGTCAACCCACAAATTTTGTTTTTCAAAGATGTGTTTACTTAGCACAGTTGCAACACTCCAGATGTTACTAGCTTAAAATGACATCTAGTGCAAAACTACTACGATTTGTAAAATGGAATTTATTTATTTTTTGAAATCTAGAAGTGTCCTTTCAGTTAGCATCTGAAAGACACTTTTGTTCTGCTGTGCTTCAAACCCCCTGTGATTATGGCTCAGAAAAGACAGAAAAGTCTAGAATGAGAACAAATGTTTCCAATAAAATTCATGGAACCAACACTACTAGTTTTCTTTCTTTTTTTTTTTTTAAACAGAAAAAATATGCCCCAGAAAGGCTTAGCTTTACTCAATATACCAAATCACAAATTTCATTAATCTTACAAAAGAATCTTGTGCATTTTCTTTTCAGTGGAGAAATAAATAAGGGGAAATGGTAAAAATTAGAAAAAGACAATTGTAAAATTAAAAAAGGCAGTTATTTTGGAGTGATAATTTGTGTGTCAGAGTAAAACTGGGGTTTTTTTATTAGTTCATAAATAGATGGGCAGTCTGAAGTGTTATGATCTAGATAGAAGTTCTTTAGAAAATGCGTAGCTTTTGCAAGATTTTTATCAAAACAATGGATATTGGTCGAAGTCCTTGACTACTACATTTCTAGGTGATAGATAAGCAATTAATTGAAGCTGACTTGTGCTGATTTCTGTATTTTGCAGATGCTCTGAAATTAACTCATGTAAGCTTTATCCCTGGATTCATCAGTTTAGCAATAACAGAAGATCTGCTGATCAGATACGCCCAATTTATTTCCCTGATGTTGATCCTCACAGTCTTCCCTCTGGTTCAAACTTCTCTATGACAGCAGGGGATTTTCAAGAAATTTATTCTGAGTGCAGTGAGTAAATGTAAACTTCTAGGCTACTCATGTAACTGTATCTTCAGCGTATTTGTTATGGGACGGTTAATGATTACACAGAGAAGGGAACTGTATCTACAAGCACTGAGCAAAAACTACTAACTGTAGCAAGATTTTCTTATTCCAGATCAGCTTTTCTTCTTAGTTACGAAAAAATGCGGACACCTCCTTGCCTAGCAGATCTTCGTTGCAGCAGTCTCTTGCAGAGTAAGACAGCATAGTAGTGTCATTGAAAGGTTTACTTGATTTAGAAAAGTGATGTCACAAAGTGAACAATGTAACTAGTTGCTTATCTTCTTTAGTGTAAAAACCAGAAATACGAGTATTTTTTTGTTGATTCATTTCCTGTTGTATAAGAAAAGCAAACTGTTTCAGCAGTAGTAAATTATAATTGAAACAACTATGTACTTCCTGACTATCAATAGTAAATATTTCAGAGACACATTATGGAGATGATAATTATCAAAGACTGTGAATTCTGTCAGTACAAATAACCTTATTTTGTCTTGTGGTATCAGGTTAGTTGTGCCGTCCTCATCACAGCTATGAAGTAATGTCTTATGACTAATGTTGAATTAACCTTCAGATGACAATCTTTAGTGCCTACTCTACCAATTACATATTTAGGGTTTGATCAAGGGCAGCAGCATTTACCCAGTTCTTTTATATGTAGTCTAATATTCTAATGTATCCCTATTTAGAAGTCACTATTTTTTCCTTACACAGTATTGGATTATCACCTCAGACGTATGTTTTCTTTTTCTACCTTTCTGTCCCTGTTAGACCTGTAACTGTTTTTCACTGGGATTATATAGCTATTGATCTGGCCCTTATTGTGCAGCTAGACTTCCAGATATTTTTTTGTAGGAGCCTTCCTTATAGTTTCTTAATTTTCTGAAGGTTCTGTCTTACATTAGAACATCTGATACTGGCATAAATTGAGACTTCTGATTTTTTTATTTACAGAACTTAAAACTTTTCAATTTCAAGGATACACATTTACAGAAAAACAGGGAGACTCATGCTTTGAAAGGCAGACTTTGAAATATCCTGCTTGTTAAATTCACCAGTAAAAAAATAGCTTGAGAAATATTAGGATACTAAATAAAATGTTTTAAAGCTATGTTCTTTGTGAAAGTGGACTTTAGTGTAAAGACTTGCATTGTTCTAGATACTAAATAGAGAGGCCCCAAATCACTGGGTATTTTTGCAGTTGTATTTCTAACAGTTGTGGTAATGAAGTTCATAGGACAGGTGAGTGATAGCACACTTGGGCCTTCGTTTATATAAAATGTGTTACAATATTTACATTTTACGGTATATAATATATCTCATTTTATATAACATGTATGAGCTATGTTATAAAATGCATAACTAGTAAATATGTGTAATATTTTGGAGTCTATGTGTTTATATATGGGGGAGTGTGTGTGTGTGTATATAGGTCACATGAACCCAAACTTAACTGTTATTAACGTAAACCAAAACATTTTCTTTACTTGTAAGCAAAATTAAAAGCCTTCAGTTGTTGTTAGTTGAAGGTATTTCTGGGTGTATAAACAAATACTGGGGTTAAATGATGAACTTTTACAGGGGTAGAAACATTGAAACTAATCTCTGTATGCTTTGCTCTTTTCATGCAGATACATGGGACTGCATAGCAACTTGCTTTTTCATAGATACAGCACATAACGTTATTGATTACATTGATACTATATGGAAAATACTAAAGCCTGGAGGAATATGGATAAATGTAGGCAAGTGTGACCGACCTCTCTTCCTACTAGCCCTGACTTAGTTTGATCACATAACAGGCATCTAGTACTTGAAAAGAATTGTGGGGATGAATGCGTCTATGCTGAAAACTCTGTAGAGCTAGAAACACCTAGGGCTTGGAAATTATCTCAGATCTGGTCAGAATGTGTCCGGGTGTTTGCTAGTTACAGTCACATCAGCACTGAGTGACTTTTATATAGAGAAGTAAATCTTCCCAGTGGCAGGTTTTGCCTTCATGCATTGAACGCTTATTATTTGACTAATACAGTGTCCTGTATTCTTTTTTGCCATTTTTCTAAGAAAATACAACTTGTTCTGTGCGTAAATACATCCTTGCATTTTTTTCTTAATCTGCTGTCTCACTTATATTGTGCTTCTAAGCAGAAGTTTTGGGAATGAGATCTATGTATGCCTTGGCTCAAAAGGAGAGAGACTTAATTTTAAGTCTCCTGTGGTGAAGGAGTGGCAGACAAAACTCAGGAGTTAAACATTTTGAATAGTAGAAACTGGTCACTCAGTCAGTCACTGCACCAATCCTGGCCCGTCACGAAATGCAAGCAGACCACCTGAGTAGGCCACAGCGTGTCCTGCCTTCTGTAGAGACATCAGCAGTGATGCTAGACTGAAGAAATGTTAAGATACAGAAAAGACAATCATTTTGCATTGATTCTGAAATTCCTTATAAAAATAATGTTTGAGTGCTAGAAATATGTTTTTGTCTGTGTTTGAATACGTGCGTCTGGATATAAGCATTCTTTGCACTTCCGGTATGTGCTTTTGATTTTTAAAAGATTTGTGTTGTCTTAGTAGCCATTTCTGTTGTATCTTTGTACTCTAGGTCCTCTCCTTTACCACTTTGAAAACTTGGGAAATGAACTTTCTATAGAATTAAGCTACGAGGATATAAAAAATGTTATACTGCAATATGGATTCCATATAGAGGTAAGAAGATGCTGTAGTTTGCAATGAGTAGTATTGGTATAAACCAGACAAACTCCTTTGAATAAAGCTTTACCTTAAATTTAGTTCAACGTAATGGCATATGCTAATAACTTTGAGAATAATTAAATGTTTGTAAGTGTGCTGCAAATTATTTGCTTTCCTCATATTTTAAAATGTGTATAGACGGGCCTTGAAATCTAGTAAGTATATAGCAATTTATTTCTTATTAAGAGAAACTTGTACATTCTTGTAGTGAAGGTGTTTTGAAAGCTGCTGTCTTTTTCAGGTGGAGAAAGAATCTGTACTGTCAACTTACACTGTGAACGAACTCTCCATGATGAAATACTACTATGAATGCGTGTTGTTTGTGGTGAGAAAACCAAAATAGAAGTGGTCTGATAGGCTAATCAGGAAAAAATGTTGGCTTGAAAGATAGAAATGAGAATGAAATGGACTGGGCGATGTCTGGACACAACCTCAAATCAGTGGTGCCTTCTTATTCCTAGTAGGATTTAGATAGTGTCTATTTTCTTAATATCTCTATTGCTATCCAGACATGTACTATGCCATGCATATTTGTAATATACTTGTGAAAGTGGAGGAGGAAATTTTCACATACACTGTCTTTTTGCGTTGGAACGCATTAAAAATAACAGCAGAAAGGTATTCCTGAGAATAAAATTTAATGTTTGCCATAAGCAGGCTAATTATCCGCATATGCTGCCTCATTTTTCATAGGTTTATAATGATCTTCTTTTTTCTACTTTCTGATGTTAGGAATGCATAGAGGTGCTTACTGTACTAGCTGTGTCACATTTAGAGAAGTGTTTCTAAACATATACTTAAATTATGAAGTCTGAAATCATTGGAAAGTGATAAAATTACTCTTTATAGATACAGTAGCCATCAGAACAGCAGCTTCTGTGGAACTGAAACAAAGCATAATCAAACAAATTCTAATCTTTATACCGCTGTTAACAATGTAATCAAAGCGCAGAACCTATAGGCAATTTGAAATACTATGTGAAAGCAGAGTACTGGCGAAGAAAAAGCATCATGTCACAGGGAAGCAGTATTTTTAACCTCAGTTCGGGAGTAACACCAATTTTGATCAATCTGTTAGTGTTGCAGCGGAAATACTAGATGGTTTGCTGTCTTACAAGTACATTGATTTTGAGGCACCTACTTAACTGCTTAAGCCAAAAGAGTGAAGCAGTATTTTGTTAAACATGATCAACAGAAAGTTTTTTGTTATACCTTGAGCTCTTTTCGTTTTTTTAAGTTGGTAACATAGATAAGTTATCCATGCAACAGAAAAAAATCTTTTTGCTTCTCAAAGGGGATAAAAAAAGTTACATGGAAGTATTATGTGTTATAACCTAATTATCTCTACTTGAGACAGCCTATGCTGGCCTGTTGGTAGGCAATTTCCTTGTAACTTCAGGCACTTCAGCCTTGTGACTTAGTGACTTCTTGGTTCATTATCCTAATAGTTTTTCCTGGCAGATGTGGCTTAGGTGAATATTTAATCTACAAACCGTGATACTATACAAGAGGTTGAATCTTCTGTCACTTACGAATTATGTACATGAGAGAGAACATTAATTAGTAATTACCACTGTGCTGAGAGAGGAGATGTCATGTTAACCATTTCATTTTCTTAATATATTGGTTACCTTAAGTACCATTTTCATCCATTTTCAGAATTTTCTTTATAAAAACATTATGATAAGGAATCGAGGGGTTTTTCTCATTTACTCATAATGGCATGGGACAGTAGCTTGTTTGTTTCCCATTATTTCTGGTCCCTTTTTTCCTGGTGATGTCCTAATAGCATCTCTCTAATAGATTTGTTACTGGCTTTTGGATTTTTCCCATTAAGGCTGGAAATTTGCTCCTTTGTTCCTAAATTGAAAGTCAGCAAGGAGGGAAACCACACACTTCTTGGGTTTTGTTTTGGGGTTTTTTTTAATAGCTTCAGTACTGCACAAGAGAGCATGTATCTGGGTATGTTCAGTACTGTGCCCCTTTCTGCTCAGAATCCTTTTTGAGAATAAAGGCTTCTGGTCTGCAGAAGTTTTCAGTTAGAGCTTTGCTTAAGCTGGTCTTAACTGAACCTTCTTCCTCAAAGTCACACCACCACGATTTAGATTTAGGTCCACAAAAGAACTGTCAAAGTTCTACCCGTGGCAAGAAAAATGGGTTTAAAGCTGAAACACTGCCATTGCAACAACTAGACTAAAAATAAAAGCCCTTGCACACCTAAAAAGATTTTTTAAAAGTTCCTTTCATTTCCTTATTGTACTATTTCTTTTTTTGAGGGACTTAGTGATTCCTTGCTGTCCTTCTGATTCCCC